CATCAGACCCTACTCTATGTTTTCCTATCCATATTTAAAATAAAGTTTAACTTACGAATTAGGCAAAGTAAGAGCACTTTTAAAAACGCACACAGAAGAGAAGTAGCTCTGTACCATTTTAAAATCTGTATATGTATGATCAGCCTTCCTCTTATGGTGATATGAGAGGATCACCAAAGAGAGCACTTTACAGTTTTTCTTTGTCATATCCAAATTTCCAGTTTCACCCGACCCTTGTGCTTTGGGGCTGCAGTTAAACAAAAACAAGGGTTATTTGAACACAAGCACTATAATGCCATTCCATTTGGTCAGTTAACAAAGAGGCTACTGAGTGAATAACAGGAGGGTAGCTTATACTGTGTGAACACACTGGACAAAGGGATGCCTCAGGTGCCAGGCAGGATGCAGAAGAAAGTGACAAAACATCACTATGCTATTCAGGGCATCGTACAGCTTAAAATCTATAATTTGCTCATGTTTGGGACTTTCCATTTAATATCTTTAGATCCCAGAAGACCACAATCCTGCCTCCACATAACAGACAGACATACAACCACGGCCAAGAGAGGATTACTGCTCTAGTCTCCGGTCACCTCCAGAGATAGAAAACCTATTCCAAAACTAAGTAAAAACTGCCAGGTTCATGATGTTATTAAAACCTAAAGGCTAAACCCTCACCAGAAGCTACATTAAGATTATATGAGTTCCGTTTATTAAGAACTGTACAACAACTACAACATCAGCTTTATGAGTGCTGCCACCACGGCTGTGATTTCAGATATCACAACCATCACACGGTGGTATGAACAGAAAAACAGCCAACTGCCCTTTTTCAGACAAACAAAAATCATAAAGGAAATAACTAGACACTGACATTTAAAGAACTGACCAGCATTTTCAGATGAGAAGAATCAACCAGGAAATTGAGCTCCACATGCATTAAAAAAAAAAAAAAAAAAAAAAGTCGACCCTGCAAACAGATCTTAACATTTTCCAAATAAAATTAAATTAAGTAGCTGTTTATACAAAGGAACCCATAACATCACTCACCCTCAGAAACAATATTTGTTGTGCTAACCCTCTTTCCCACGCATGGTCTGTTCAGCAACACTCAGATCCTTGTTTTAGAGATAAGAAAACTGTGAGAGATGGAAGCAAAGACCCTACCGGATCTGTCCACCCTAGTCACTGTGGTCATCTCAGCCTCGTGACAAAGCAGAGCAGTGCGTTCGCAAATGCTTCTACTCAATGAAATCCTGCGCAACGACTAAAATCACAAAGGCCACATGAAGTCGCCATGCCATCCTGACTGAGGACCATTCATAAATTCTCTCTTTTTATCTTTCTGCAACAATCACATGAAGTAAGCAGGCTTTGGGGGTTAAGATGACTCCACTCGGGGAAACAACAAATCCCATACTCACAAGCATCACACTGGACATTACACCACAACGCCCCAGATAATGAGAGCTTCTTAGTCTGCACTAAAGAAAACTGGGTCATAGAAGAGATATTCTGAGCCTGGCTTCAGAACAGATCACTTCCCATTTGATTCACTAGAGTGTTAAATTAAGCTAGTGATATTTTTTTCTGTTTGTCTAAAATGTTCTTAATTTTAATAAATCAAGTTTCAGTTAGATTTTGTCTTTACAATTGACTGGTGACTCCAGTCTTATATTTTCAATATGTCAGTAATGAAATGGTTAAACTTGAGGGTAACACCCTGGTGGATATCTCTCTCCTTCAACCATCAAAGGGGTGGGGGTGGGGGTCACAGTCAGTTACTCCTGTTACACCAGCGTTTGCTGGAACATCTGTAGGCACACAAACACTCTACCCTTCAGCCTTCAGCTTGCCACAGTCAAACTAAACAGTTACTGACTCTTCCCCAAGTCCGACCTTAATTCCTGGCATAGCTGCAAGGATTCAGAGAGGGATAAGCAGCCCCTCTGGCCTTCAGGTAGGTCCAATACTTCATTTCTAGCAATGCTAAAAGATGGGAACCTATGTTTATAAACTTTAAGGGTTTGTTGCTGCCACACTAAACCAGTGTGCTGGCTACAGATGAACGACTTCTGGGTAGGGAAGAAGAGATGTAGATTTTGGAAGGGTGGGGTCTCCTGGTCTCAAGCTACTGCAAGGATTACTTTCAATTCCTTCAGGGTATTATTAATCTTGGAACATAAATGATCCTCAGCAGGGGAAGACAGGCCTAATCCTGGTTTCACTGCCAGCAGAAATCAAGCAGCATATGCCTCTAACCTGATAGACCGTACAGTGCTCACTCACTCACTCAGTAGCTGCGGTGCATGGGCTCCTGGCTATTTTGGAGTCAGGAAACACGGACAATGCTGATCTGTAAGATTTAGAGCATCAGAGTATACTGCCTGTCTTTGGAGAGAAAGTCAGTTCAGACACAGGAAACTACAAACCCAGACCTCACACCATTAGTTCTCTTCTGATACTCAACTATGCCCTGGCTTCAAAGCGAACAAGTGAAGATTGCCCTGCTGGGGAATGCTAGCACAGGGCTGAGAAAACTGTGTTAAGGGTATTGGCCCTGTATGTCTTCCTTTTAAGAAGAATCTTTAATGTGTTGACTTTGAAATTTCCCTTAGTTGAAAAGCAGTCTTTTTTTTTAATCTGCCTGATATTTTTGTCTATTTAAACAGTAGCTTTCAGTGGGTTATTTTAGGCCTAGCATAATTTTTAAACAATTTTTAAAACCCTAGATGTAACTAATATAGTTATATTAAAGCTGGAAAAGATACAATCATCAACTCCAGTAAAAATATATTCCCACCCATGAACCAAAACTTCAACAACTAGATGGTGTCAAAAATGCTAAAACACCTCCAATGTTTCTATTATTTAAATATACAAATCATCTGACTAAGACAGATCATCTGAGACTTAAATGGGCAAACACTTGTCTATGTCCCAAGAGGAGACAATGTAGCTCCCTTTACTGTTCTTAGGGCTCCAAGTTTGCTACAACATGGACAGTCTTCCCTATGCACTGCTCAAGAAACTGCTTCTTATTATTAATCCATAATATTCCAAATCCCTATGACGACCTTCTCATGGCACAGTGGACTACAGTGAAAACTCTCAGGCTGGTGCTCTTCTCTCTCTTTCTCCCTCCCTCCTTTCCTCCCTCTCTCTCCCCCCTCCCTTTCTCCCTCCCTCCTTTCCTCCCTCTCTCTCACGCCCTCCCTTGCTCCCTCCCTCTCTGAGTCACCACCAACACCTTTGGCTTAACAATTTAACCAACTATTATTAGTTCCAAACTGTATCATTTACACATCCCCTCTACTGCTCATCTCTTGAAGGAAGACGGGAGGCAGAAGACAGAGCAGCCGTGAAATGCTCCTCTTTGAGGTGCGGCACAGACACTGCAACCACGACCTTACAGCTGCTGTGGCTTCCTAGACTGGGCCAGCACAAGGCTGGCCCTATCAACAGCCCATTGTGGATGGGAGGGGAGCTCGGGAAGGCCGACTCCACTCTGCAGTACTATAGGCTACTGATAGATTTGGGAGAGGAGACATTGCCTTCAGATAAGCATCAGTTAGGGCACACTCCAAACTTCCATACACAATTCCAAACCCATGGGCACTCAGATATCTCTGGTTAAACTCAATGGGACACAAAACAAAACAAAAAGACATAAATGTGGGAAATGTGGTGAAAAGATTTTTAGGAAGGAGGGGGAGGTTGGCAGGGGCAGGAGCGACATAAAAGAGGGCAGAATGACAGTAAATCAGAATGAACTATATACATGTATGAAACTGTCAAAGACCAAATTCAATTAAGAAAAAAATTCATCTGTCTACATCTGCTGACCAAATCCCAACCACATCCTATAGCCCCCTGTAGACATCTCCATCTCCACTCACGTGTGCGGCCATTATCAGCAGATATCTGTGCCTAGGGGCCTGTTATCTTGTGACAATGACAAGATAATGGTATCTACTACTCTGTCTGGGCCCTGTTCTGACTCCTTTACAATTCTGACATCAACCTATGTGGATAAAACCACCTCATTTTACAGATGAGGAAATCAAGCCACAGAAACAGTTTGCACAAAGTCAGGTCGTTAGTTACTAAGTGACGCCAGGATTTGAGTCGAGGCTGACAGCACTGAGTCCTAATCCTGACCGTTGTTTTATTCTGCTTTTTAAACAACTTACTCTAAAAAGAGTCAATCTTATCTTATTTCAACATGTAGTGCCAATAACAGAGTGTTTCACGTCTGCAAGCAGGAAGAGTACTTCACCTCTCTCTAAGGTAGGTAACAGTACAAACTTCCCAAGCTTACCTTTATCTGATAATATTTCTTAATGGCAGTGCAATAATTTTGTACTCAATATAAAATTAATCAAGAATTATCTCACAATTCGTGGGCTGGAAATGATCTGAAACAGGACAATTCTATTTTCCTAGGTGTTGGGGCATGGAGGGGGGAGCGTGTAGTTTAGGAACTGTCTCTGTTTCGCTGAAAGAATTCTCAAAACAATAAGGAAAGAAAGTTGCTGAGCAGGAAGGGGGCGGGGGGGGGTCTTCTAAAGTGTCCCTTGTAATTGCCTAATTACTACACTTCCGTTAGTAAGTGCAGAGTGGAAAAAAAATTTTTTTAATCATTTTCAAGCTGCTTCTCCCCTGCGTGCTAGGTATTCTAAGACTCGTCTTTCAGTTCTGAAAGACAGTCAACTTTCCTAACTCCCTGTCCCAGCAACTGACGAGTCCTCAGAGTGCAATTCTGGGTCTCGCTTCAATAGATCCAGAGTGGAGTCAGTAAAGTCGACTCAACCGTGGCTTCCCCTCAGAGTGTGGTTTCCAGGCAACCACACTTGGGCCAGAAGTATCTGTGCCTCCTACCGGGACACCCTACTAAGAGTCGCAGAAGCCGCAGCGATTCCCGAGCACCGGTTTGCAGGCGCCCCTCCTGGTACTCTTGGGTCCAGCGCCCCGTTGTCGGCAGAGGGGCGCACTCTCACCTCGGTTCCCTAGCTGTCCGTCACCTTGGAGCCCATCTAGTCACTTGGCACTTTTGGAGTCCTTTCCAGTCAGCCTAGACGGCTCCAGTCCTGAAGCAACAAGAAGACAAACTATAGAAAACGGATTCTTGGGAAATGTAGTTCTGTTGGCTAGCATGCAAGGGCGCTCTGGGAAAGAAGGACTACAGTTCCCAGAAATCAAAGCGAAGGGAGTGCGCCACTAAAATATGTCCCAGCTGCTAGACTTGAATTAAGAAGGAAAGGTCTGGAGCTCTTTGCTTCCTAATTAGGACAAGCATTTAAATGACTTTTCTTTTAAACAAACTTTTTGCATGTGAGGACATCTAAACATGATGATGTATAATAAAAAGATATTCTAAGTTTTGTGTTTTATACTTTCAGATAAAAGACCTACTCACAATCAAAAATGTCACTGCAGATGGTAACAGTGGGTCATAATATAGCCTTAATTCAACCAGGCTTCTCACTGATGAATTTTGATGGTCAAGTTTTCTTCTTTGGCCAAAAAGGCTGGCCCAAGAGATCCTGCCCTACTGGAGTCTTCCATTTTGATATTAAGAAAAATCATCTCAAACTAAAACCTGCGGTTTTCTCTAAAGATTCCTGCTACCTCCCACCGCTTCGCTACCCAGCTACTTGCTCCTACAAAGGCAGCTTAGAGTCTGAAAAACATCAATATATCATCCACGGAGGGAAAACACCAAACAATGAGCTTTCCGATAAGATTTATATCATGTCTGTTGCTTGTAAGAACAACAAAAAAGTTACTTTCCGTTGCACAGAGAAAGATTTAGTAGGAGATGTCCCTGAAGCCAGATATGGTCATTCAATTAACGTGGTATATAGTCGAGGGAAAAGTATGGGTGTTCTCTTCGGAGGACGATCATACATGCCTTCTACGCAGAGAACCACAGAAAAATGGAATAGTGTAGCTGACTGCCTGCCCCATGTTTTCTTGGTAGATTTTGAATTTGGGTGTGTTACATCATATACTCTTCCAGAGCTTCAGGATGGGCTGTCTTTTCATGTTTCTATTGCTAGAAATGATACTATTTACATTTTAGGAGGACATTCCCTTGCCAATAACATTCGTCCTGCCAACTTGTATAGGATAAAGGTAGATCTTCCCCTGGGTAGCCCAGCAGTGAATTGCACAGTCTTGCCAGGAGGAATCTCTGTCTCCAGTGCAATCCTCACTCAAACAAATAATGATGAATTTGTTATTGTTGGTGGTTATCAGCTGGAAAATCAAAAAAGGATGGTCTGCAACATTGTCTCTCTAGGGGACAACACGATAGAAATTAGTGAAATGGAGACCCCAGATTGGACCCCAGATATTAAGCATAGCAAAATATGGTTTGGAAGCAGCATGGGGAATGGGACTGTTTTCCTTGGCTTACCAGGAGACAATAAGCAGACTATGACAGAAGCATTCTATTTCTATCTGCTGAAATGCTCTGAAGATGACGTGAGTGAAGAGCAGAAAATCTGCACAAATAGTCAGACATCAACAGAAGATCCCGGGGACTCCACTCCCTTTGAAGATTCAGAGGAATTTTGTTTCAGCACAGAAGCAACCAGTTTTGATGGTGATGACGAATTTGACACCTACAATGAGGATGACGAGGATGACGAGTCTGTAACCGGCTACTGGATAACATGCTGCCCTACTTGTGATGTGGACATTAATACCTGGGTTCCATTCTATTCAACGGAGCTCAATAAACCTGCTATGATCTACTGTTCTCATGGAGATGGGCACTGGGTACATGCCCAGTGCATGGATCTGGCAGAACGCACACTCATCCACTTGTCAGAAGGAAGCAACAAATATTACTGCAATGAGCATGTGCAGATAGCAAGAGCATTACACACTCCCAAAAGAAGCCTGCCCTTACAAAAACCTCCAATGAAATCACTCCACAAAAAAGGTTCTGGGAAAGTCTTGACTCCTGCCAAGAAATCCTTTCTTAGAAGGTTGTTTGATTAGTTTAGAAAAAGCCCCTCAGATTCAGGTGCACTTATTCTTAGACCTACTTTTTAAATCATAATAGTGATATAAATGGCATTTTGATTTTTGTTTACTGAAAATCTCTGTACCATGCTTTGTTCGTATGAGTTAAGTGCTAGTTTTAATGTAATGGTAAGTATAGCTATTTTAATGTGTATTTTTAACATTTTATTCAAAGGTTTCTTAAATGAGAAATGTTATCTAATTTTTATTCAGAATAGCAGTGATAATGTATACACAGAACTCTTGCATCATTTTGTCACAATCTACATGTTGAATAGTAACTAAATACCAATAAATAAACTAATGCACAAAGGAATTAAATTGTTTTGTGTAAGTACCCTATAGTTGATTTAAAAAGTTAAAACCAGGATCAACTATATCCCACATTTCTGCTCTTTTTAAACTCTCAGTCAGCCTCTTGGATTACACCCATGAACAGATTAATATATATGTTGTATGGAGGCTGCTAGTTAGTTCCCAGCTACTTAGCCTCAAAATAATCACACAGAAACTGCATTAATTAAATTACTGCTTGGCCCATTAGCCCTAGCTTCTCATTGGCTAACTCTTACATATTAATTTAACCCATCTCCATTAATCTGTGTATCACCACATGGCTGTGGCTTACCGGCCAAAGTTCTGGAGTCTGTCTCTGATGAGGCTACATGGCTTCTCCCTGGCTTTGCCTCCTTTCTCCCAGCATTCAGTTTAGTTTTCCCTGCCTACCTATGTTCTTCCCTATCAACAGGCCAAGGCAGTTTCTTTATTCACTAATGGTATTCACAGAATATAGAGGGGAATCCATATATATATATATATATATATATATATATATATATACCCAGTAACTCAACACACCAAAAAAATCTACATCAAGCCAGTAATGATGACACATGCTTGTAATCCTGGTACTTGGGAAATAGAGAAATAGAGGCAGATAAATTGTGAGTTTGATTCTGGCCTAAGTTAGATACATTATATCTGAAAAACCTGAAGACTGGCCTTGATAGAAGACAGAACACTGGTAGCATTGTCACCTACTGTGGTGTTTTTAATGAAAACGGCCTCCATAAATGCATAGGGAGTGGCACTATTAGGAAGTGTGACTTTACTGGAGTAGATACAGACTTGTTGGAGGAAGTGTACCACTGGGGATGGACTTTGAGGTTTCAGATGCTCAAGCTAGGTCCATTGTAATTCTCTTTTCCTGCGGCCTGCAAATCCAGATGTATAACTCTTTGTTCCTTCTCTATTACCATGTCTGACAGCATGCTGCCGTGCTTCCTACCATGATGACAATAGACTAACCTTCTGAATCATAAGCTAACCTCAGTTAAGTGTTTCCCTTTATAAGAGTGCTTATGGTCATAGTGTCTCTTCCCAGCAATAGAAACCCTAAGTCACCTATATGACCAAAGTCCTGAATTCAACACTGTGGTACATTTTCGTGAATTATCTACATGCACTTGAGAAGGGTCAAAACATGTTCGCCTAGCCAGTTTGGATGTTCACCTTCCTAGATATGGACGGAGGGGGGAGGACCTAGGACTTACCACAGGGCAGGGAACCCTGACTGCTCTTTGGACTGGAGAGGGAGGGGGAAAGGAGTGGGGGGAGAGGGAGAAGGGTGGGAGGAGGGGGAGGGAAATGGGAGGCTGGGAGGAGGTGGAAACTTGTTTTTTTTTCTCCTTTTCTCAATTAAAAAAAAAAAACATGTTCCAACAATATGCTTTTGCCTAAATCACTTTGGGGGTGCATTTTTAATCCCTTCCAAATCAATGGTTCATCCCTTTGAAATTGCTCAACTGTTGTCCCTCTTCTCCATTAGACTGTTATCATCTCTGGAAACAGTCAAATTTCACTCAAGGCCCAATAGTGTACAGCCCTGAAAACTGCATTATCATTTTAAATGAAACATGAACATGAGCTTATGCAATGATATTGGGTTCTCACTCTCAGAAGGTATCTAGTGCTATGTCCTGGACAGTTTTCAAAATAGTATAAGAATAATATCAAGAAATATGTGATCAATAAAAAGAAAATGTTCATATTCCATAAATGAAAACCCTCAGTTTCTTGTAAAATCACCAAATCCTTCATTGAGGCTTGAAATGATTCTTTCATTCCATCCTCTTCTTTCCTGAATCTTCTATGTACTTGAGCCCCCATCATTGTTCATCATCCTTTCTCAAAAGGAGAAAAAACAGTGGCTGGCACCTGAGGAGAAACAATATTTGAAGTTGAATCCAGCCTCCACATACACATGTACATATGTGTATATGCTCTACACACTCATAACCATATGTTATGTCCTTAACACATATGGACACACACAGCTTTTTTAATTTCAAGATCCACATTAAACATGGAACCTGAAAAAAAAACAATAAAACTCGTCTCTAGAGAATGTGCTGTCTCACTATAGAAAGAGGCCCAGGACAGGGAAGGCAAGGTATAAAAGCCACATCTGTATATACTTGAGCTGTTTGCATAGGAAAGGCTGTCCACGCAGCATTAACTCTTTTCTAACCTGGAGTATGCTAATAGAATTACAAAACGGGGCCAAAATTTCTCAAATTTTCTATCTTATATCAACCTTCGCCAAAGAAATGCTGTGGCAAAGATGGTTTTAAAATGTAGACTAAACCATTTGAAGTGATACACAAAATATATAGCGATCCCTCAAAAAAAGGGGGGGGATCTTTGTTGCAAAAGATGACCAAATCATTTGCAACAACAAAAAAAAATGAACTTCTTAAAGACAAAATGGAAAGACAGTTATAGAAACTGATCAGTTCATTAGACTTTGATCTGACCTCAATATAGAAATACACAGATCTTAGCCTTCGAGTAAATTAGGATATGTGTGCGCATACATATGTGTGTTTGTGTGTATGTGTGTGTTTCTGTCTCTATACATGTTCCTCTGTGTGTGCATCCACATGTGTGAGGGTGTACACCTGTGTATGAGTGTGAGTGCGAGCTTGTCCATGTGGAGTCCACAAGACAACCAGGGCTGTTATTTTTGAGGTTCTCTCCAGCTTTTTGTGACAGAGTCTCTGTCTGGCTTGGATCT